TTCTCTGTTCTAATTAAGAGTGAGCAGGTAGATACCGTTTGTCAATGGAGTCCACAAAGGTCTTCCAGTACCATGGACAATCTTAACGGTTCCTGGATATAAAGGATATGGATACAGAATGGAGAATAATAATGTTCAGATGTCATGCATTAAGAATGACACGGTAACTATAACTGAATTACTCAACACAAAAAGTAACTGTGAGATTGTTAAAAATAAACATAGATGAAAAATCCACAGATCTTAAGTTCAGAACTTGACTTTAGAGAAGGCTGAGAAGTCTTGAAGTAGTGGTTTCTTCTACTGTTTTGCACAGGCCTATGCAGCCTTTAGTCCGTGCTTGGACCCACAGGCCACACTGCTGATAGGTTTTATGAACAAAATACATTCAGTGGCCATTTTATTTTCTTCAGAACTGAATGTCCCCCAAAACAAGTACAAATATCCTGCCACCGCAGATCTAGCCACAACTATTTGAGCATGCTACATGGGATACATGAAAAACTTAAAAGTTCAGGCATTTGGAATTCATATAGATAAAGCACACAGAAAGGTGAACAGAAAGCCATACTGCAGCTTCAATAAATGAGCAGGATAATTATATATTACAAATCTTATTTCTTCAACTTCTCCTGTCAAAATAGGGGGCTTTGTGTATTGGGTTATGAATCACTAGTCTAGAGACCAAAGCCACAAACTATATTTGATATGACCTCTTCACTTAGAAAAATTTTTCTGGGAATTTCCTCTAAGCATTTTTGCTCTTAGGAAGCCTTCAGTCTAGATCACCTCTGGTAGTAAAATCAAATATCAGCAGCCAAAGCAAGTTAGCAAAAATCCAGGATGCTGCAGAATGTGGTGATAATGTTTCTGCCCATAACAACCTTTTCTTGAAGTCACGAGGGAGCCATGGTCTGATGTGGAGTTAAGGGAGAGGCTACTGGAGTTTTCACTTTCAGAAAACCTAGTATGAAGTTCTCTGTGTGCTTCTTATTACTAGCAATCCTGTAATAAAGGTAAAATTGCTAATAATAGCATTAACTATCAGCAGCATTAGAATTACTCCTAACAGGAGTCGTATTTTATACGAAATGCAGTAATATATACAAGATAATGCTATTACCACTGAAAAGCCCTTAATTCTCTTCATAGGATGAGATTTTTAATATCTAGAAGAAATCATCAGGCCCTCAATTTAGTTCTCATTTGAAAGACATAATACTACATTCCCACATAGGAGTTACTTGAGACAAATACAGTATTAATCAAGAGCAGTCTCATGTTAAAATAAAGCTTAATTTCTCCCCATCCCAGGATCTGCTTTAACTCAATGCTGGAAGGGAAGCTTCACCCTCAATAGCTTTTGTAACCTGTACTAAGAGGTGTTATTCCCTACCTCTCAGGATTTGACCCATTAACTTTCAGAGGAAAATAGTCTTAAATCTCAGCAACACAAAATAAGAGAGGTTGACCACTGAAAACAGTGCCATGACAGTTCCTAAATCAAATAGACTGCATGACAGATTCAAGTCTTTCTGATAACACTGTCTGCAGGATGCTTGACAGTGCCTTATCAGCACCTTCAGTACGTCCTTCTCCACACTGGAGCTGCTAGGCCTCACTAAAGAAACGATAAAACACATTTCCATGGACGGTGTGGGTAGGAGAGTGATTTATTTCCTAAGTGCAGTTGTTCCACTTTTGTATTTCCTTCCCTTTCAGTGTTGTAACTTCTATTTCAGAATGACCCAGATAAGTGTCAGAAAAGGATTAAAAAAAAAAAACTCCTCCCAATCTGTCATAACAGACTATACCAAATCAAACCCTCAAGGAATATGTTTTACAGATACTTAGACAAGTGTTTCTGTTGGAGTGTAACAAAGGATAAATTCATCCAGACTTCATCAGTTTATTCTATTCTTTCTGCTCCTGAATGATTTCAAATTAGGGAGTTGTTACAGGGTTAATTAAGGCTCCTGAAAACCAGGAGCTGTGAAGGGTTGCCATCAGAACCCTTTAATTCAGATACTTGTAAAAAGTCATTATGTTCCTTTATGGATTCAGATAGCTGAAAAGAGAGTAGCCTTCAACCAACTATAGCATTATCACCACTTCCAAGCAAAGGGGCATGGAAAGCATTTCTGAACAAAGATGTGTCACAAGGTATTGTTTAGTGAAGAGTGGCAGAAAGATGAAAGGAGCAGAAAGAAAAGGCATCAGGGAAGTAGCAGATACTGAAGTCTGATAATATGACCCTTGAGAAGAGGTAAAAGAGAGAATTTTGGGGCTGAGCTGTGACTAAAAGGTGTTAGAGTGGAAGAGGAAAGAAATTAATGGCAACTGGTCAGAGAGATAGGTCTTGGTGCGTTCTCAACAGGCATCACAGAAACGCACTTCTCCCAATTTTCATGCCTTACTGGAACAACTTGAATTTAAAGTCCTGCAATTTGGGTAAATGACATAGATCCAAAGGAGTAATTTGATTTTTCCTTCCTGTCTGTGGTCTTTTTTCCTACTTCTATCACCGTGAATTAGAAACACACAAGTAACAGTCTCCAATGTTACATAATCAGCAAATAAAAAACAACTAGTAGTTTAATCCTGCAACCCTGCCTTCTTGACATAAAAAGCAAGCTGGGCCCTAAACACAGCCTCCAGATGTATCTATCAGTAAAATCAAAATGAGACTTGTTTTTCAACACTCTGGTCAAATCTGGAGGAAGACATTCATCACTGCTTCTTTTTTTCAAAGTTATAAACCAAATATGGAAAACAAGGCAAATCAGGGTCCTAGGGAGTGAATATATTATTCAGAATAATCATGAGCTTATTCTTCTGTTATGTTAGTAGTATTCAAAGTGTAGTATTCAGGGATCCCAGTCATGTTCTTTGATAAATAAAATTTTCCTTCTGCTTTATTAAGATATTGACACAGTAGAGAATGAAAGAAACAAGCAAGGATTTGCTAATTGAAAACTGCAAGCCAGTGAGATTACGCATATGTCATACTACAGCTCAGTTTAACAACAGTATCATAGCACACAGGTTTAAAAAAAAAAGCAGATAGTCATACAAATCCTATTGTAATTCAGTAATTAAAGCATGTGTGCTTAATAAACTTACCTCAATCCACTTAAAAATCAAGTTTTCTACAAATCCTACATGGAAATTTCTTTTCCATGGGCTGGTAAAATGGCATTTTCGACTGAGATTTTGAGTATGTTGAGTATATTGAGTATATTTGGGGTTTTTTTTAATATATTCTCTGTGTATTTTAAAGGCATGTAATTAATATACGGGATTACTCACCAAAGTCATCATTAAATAATTAAGTACTTTCACTTCTGTTTGCCATGCCCATTTAGAAATACAAAGGCTTACTCTTAGTGTAAAAAGAACGGTTAGCTACCACGTCCCTCTGAAATAAAAAAGCAACACAACAGGCTTACATCTGAACCTCTGACATTCACACATTGCAGACAACTATGCTGCCAACAAGCCTCACGTATACATCGTATCAGAACAAATTCGGAGCTTTGAGTGGAATGACAGTTATGTCCCTGCAACACCCCGACCTACCCAGGCAGGTGTTAATCAGTTATATCCAAGCTACTAAAAACACAAGGTCCCTGGCTGATTTGCATCCATGTGAACAGATTGGCATCCTGTTCCTCTTGAACCGGGAAGGGCAGCATGACAATGTATGAGGTTCCCGAATATAAAATTCCATCTTGTTCTTATATCTCTGCTCAGGGTTCGTATTTGAGCCTTATGCTTCTTGTTGACCTCCCATATTTGTAGAAAGTATGCAGCTAGTGGCTGCAAATATCTTTGCAATAAGTAAGGGACAAAGAAAGAATAATTACAAAGAAATACCAGGTGGCACAAAGGGGATGAAATACATTCATCATAAATACTATGCAATTACAATTGCAATTACAAATCATGTAAGGTCCTAATTTTGCTACTGATGGCACGGGAGTGAGTCTATGGAATACTATCCAAGCACACAAAATTAAAATCACACAACTGAGATGCTAATTAGTAATTTTTCATTCTTCTCTCTTTCCCTCCCATACCAGTATGAGTTGCATAAGAAAGAGATTGATAGAACTGCATTTTCAGAGTCCTAAGAGAATATTTTTAACTATTCTTGAAAGATATTTTTTATAACAAAATATAGGCAAAGTTTCACAAAGAAACAAATGAAGCAGCAGAGTAAAGGTGTTTTCTCTAAGGCACTAGCCTGTTTTGTTTTATGAGCATGACATGTGTAAGTAGTGACTTAACAGTAGACTGAGTACGTAGCAAGGAATCCAATGTTCCAAGACTATTCCCACTCTTAATACTTTGCTTGTGGCTTCAAGAAAACTCTCAAGCAAGCACTGGAAGAATTAATAATGTATGTCCTGAGCTACAGTTTTACTTTTGGTTTTACAGAGCAAGGCTGAAAGCTTTAGGAAAAATAACTAGACAGAAAAGCAATTCTGAGATCCCCCTATCTACTCAGAGACTACCATATATTCAGTTCAGTCAGTGCTTACTGCAACATATATTCTACCATTACAAACTCTGTCTTGCTACATTCCCATCTTGTGTGACCAAGTTTTCCAAAAATAAAACAAGATTGCCTTAAAGCAATTGTTTCTTTGAAGCATGGCCTTACAACGCTCTCAGCCTTGGGAATTTAGATCAACTAAAAAAGAAAAAAAAATGCTCAAGTACACTATGTGATCTAAACATCATCTTTCCAGCAAGCTCTTCTTTCCTTTGATAGATTTTTTTTCTGAGAAACCAAGCATCTATAGTTATAAAAACACAGTAATCTGGGAATGTCATAGAAAAATCATGTGGCCCTAGAATTGCTCTTCCGTTTAAAGAAACTGTTAAAAATAAACTTTGATATTTTCCCACTAACTTTCTTTGATTTCTACAAGAAGCAAAAATCATTGGGTTTGCATGAATAAAAATGTCAAGCAACCTCATTAGTTTTCACTTACCTTCTGAAACCACCAGTTATGGTAACTAAAGCATCTGGTAGAAACATATGTACAGTCTTCTTGACAATCAAGCCTACTGCATCTGCTTCTGCCTTAGATACACAGCTAACAAGATCTTCATAGTAGAGAAACCCTAGAAATCAAAGGCAAAAGAGTGAAGTCACTGCGAAATTATGAAAATCCACAGTGTATTATGTAAATTAGGTGGGAAATAAGTAGCCACCAGGAAGCCACGCCACTCTGCATCCAGAGGATTGCAGTGCCCCCTTATGGCTTATGCTTCAGTCATGCAGCCCATGAGAGCACCACAGAAACCCCCACACAGCAGATGCTACTCATCTCCATCTGAGAGCACCAGCAGTTCAGCCTGTTGTCCCAATCAACCCTAGCTCTCCCTTTCTGATTGAAGCAAACATCATCTTTTTACCTTACTATACACCTAACTCTTCCTTGCCTCAACTTTGTCATGAGCCAGCTGGAGGACTGAACTAGATCTACTACAGTTCCCACTAAGATCCAGCTCTTCAGAAAGGTCAGCTCAAACTGATCCAAAGGTCAGGGCTTTTCTTCTGGAAAACACGTGCACAAGATCTAGCCTTTCAGAGAAGCTATAATTTATAATAGCATGTCAATCAGAGTAACAGCATTACCAGTTTCCACTTTTTAAGAACCTTACTACTAGTAAATCACTACTAGCTCCTAGCAGTGGCGTTTCTGGGTGCACAGCTTTCAAAGGCACTCTTCCTGAAAATGACAGGATTCTACCCAAGTACAGGGCTCAGAGGATTACTAGGTATGCAAAGTAACCTAGCTATCTTTATGTCTGTGGCATTAAAAGAGCCCAGTCCTGCAGCGTGATTCAACCCCTTTGGATATGATTTCTAAATAAAAAAAGGACAAATGAGCATGAATGTAGTTAAACTAATCCAAAGGATTCTAAGGTGGTGTAAAACACATGGATGCAAAAATAAAGTTACATAATCCTAATACCAACTATGGAATCTCTTCTTTTGATGTGATGGATTCCTTTGTTTAAATGGGTTCCTCTACTTAAGGAAATGGCACAGAAAAGAGAAACATTATTCATTTTTTGAATACTCTGACGTTAAGATATGTCAGGATTATGGTGGTGTTCTACAAGTGTGCATATTTTATTACAAATCTTGATTCATCTCTAGAGTAGGGCTGTCTTGAAGGAAACAAGTCTCCTCTGAGAAATAGTTCTGTCTCCTCCTAGCTTTGGAGTTTTTCCACAACCTGTGTAATAATGTCCCATTAACATTTTGTGTACGAGAGCAGACTTTGTTGGGCATCTATGTAAGCAATAAAAAACTGCATATTTGTATTTTTGGAATGACATTCTTTAAGTGAGGTTCCCAGTAACCCAAATATTATTTTTAAACATAATTTAATATTCAAAAGATTCCACAGCAAGAAAACGGATGCATAAATGAACTTTGTCTCTATGCCAATTCTGTTTTCAAGTTCTTAGAGCACAGAAATGCTGAGTTTTTGATGGGACTTTTGTCTTACCTGCTCTTTGCATTTTTGATAGCTTCAGGGTCTTCTCAGCTTTCACCTCTTCCAGAGTCCGTAAACCCATTCTATACCATTTCTCAGATGTCTTCACTCCCACTCCAAAGACTGAAGTAAATTGCTAAGTTCAGTGAAAGAACACACATTTCAGTTTTTCTAAAAGAGTTACCAATAAGTGGGTAATAAACAGGTTTAACAATGAAAATATCAGGCAGAATTTAACCTCTGCAGAAGATAAATACAGACATACAGATACAGTCTCCTCTCTTTGCACAGTGACCTCCAGCAAACAGTGGTCTTTATACACAGACAGTTCTCACTGAAGTGACATTTAAACAATAATATAATTGTATCCCCAGCACCTTTGTATGATTTAGCTAAATGTGCACTTTCAACAAACATTTCAAGTAAGGATAGTAGTCTTTGTTTTTACCTCACAGAGTAATTAAGAGACATGAACAATAATGTTATGTTATACAGGTGGGTCACCTCACACTGACATCAAAGACTAAGAAATGTCTCAATACAGTCTACTAAATTTGACAGACATCATAGTTTTGTATGTTATGCACTACCAGCTCTCACCTGTAAATCTGATGTTGGTGCCACTGCCCTCTCAAGAGATGAAGAGATGGGATCAGTGGCAACTCTGTGGCTCTTTACATTCTACACTGAGGACAACGGGTATCAATAGTGCATGGATACAGATGATAAGTACATAAAGGCATCTAAATCCTGTAGTACTAGTTTGTAATGCATCTTATAAAACATAAATGTTTGGAAGATACATCAAATATTGTTTTCCAAAATAGGATTCAATTTCAAGTACAAATAGGTAATTTTTACTTGCTTCCTTCTCATAAACATAGACTTACAATCCTCCAATCCTTATGAAAGCCAACCTGAATTCCTATTTGTCTCATTTGGAATACGGATTTCACTATTTTGCCTACTGGGGAAAAAAAATCACCCCAAAATAACCGCTCTCTAAAGTTTTGCTACGGTTATATTCCATTCATTACAAAGTCATTTGGTACATTAACTTATTCCCCAAAATAGGATGTAAAGTAAAAATGTCACGGATGTAAGCATTATTCATTAGATCAATATCTCAGATAAGCAGTGATATGGAAAGCAGGAGAGAAAACGTTTATACTCATCCAAAAGCACGTTCCGTCTTTACTTTGTCAATACTGAAGCTCTCAACAGTTTCAATGCGCTGTTATTTAGTTCAATGAGTAGCTATGTACAACACAAATAACTGTCCTTTTCCATTGAATCTACAACCTTTAAATTCCAAACCTGTTAGTTTTATCTTGGGTTTTTCTAATGAGATTAATTCCTTGAAAACAATTATGATAAAGAAAACGAAAGTATGAAAATCTTGGCTAATATTAAATAGGAATTACCCAACATTTTATATATAATAGATGAAATTACCTACTCTTTGCCTGAAATGCAGGATTTTGTGAAAGAATGTGATAGTTTTAATCATTTAGATCGGTATCTTGTGCTTACTTGTTTGCTACTGCTGCATTTTCAAAAGAGTCTATTACTTGGTTCAGAACTATTCCAAGAAATTTTATTAATAATGCGTAATGGGCAGAGAACTAAAGAAAATGGATTCTGTGCCACTATCTGAATTTCTAGGGAAAAAAAACTTTTTATTCTTCCCACATTAAGATCCATTATTATTCAGTAGAGTTAAATACATCAATTTAGAAACACTGCCGCGAGTGCTCTGTGGAACAGATAGCCCATTTCTTCAATTGTATATTTGAGCATTGCAGGGCTTCAGCTGGTGAAAGTGAATTGTGTGAACTTCTCTGCAGCATCTACCTCCCTATGGAAGAGAACGGATTGTGCCACTCATATACCCTACATCTAAAACAAAAGGTGCATAATTTATTTTGGTGGTTTGATAACTGTGGTCCTGGGACCAGTGGTGATCTTTTAAGTCATGATAAGCATTTTGCAGCAGTCACCAGAACCATGTTAAACAATACAATTTAGGAATTCAGTCATTCTGTGTGACTATATCATGGGCTTTTTCTTGGCTTTCCCAGACACACACTAAAAATCATTAGAAACACTGGCTGCATCCAGTTTAGCCAAAATGTTGAAAACTGCTTAGCTAACAGAAGAGCCACATAGCTTTGTTGTAATTTGGCATATCAAAGAAGCTATAAAGCATATTTGAGAAAAGCTGTCCCCAAGAGGTTTTATTCTAATCTCTAAGAGATTTTCTTAAACCTTAAAGCATAATATTTTATATTCCTCAACTTTTATTACTATTAATTATAAGTCTGGTTCCTGAATGTTGCTGTACACAAGAAGCTGCGTTTCTTTTCTTGAATCTTGCCAATGTTATGGCCTCAACAAGTACCACTGAATATGCTTTCATACTTCTGTGAGTCAGAGAGACCAAAGTACCCCTGAATAGCTGAAGTAGAAGCCAATAATACAGAGGATAATTAAATAATCCAATTTATTTTACTCTTCTGGATAAAAATTTTAAAATATTTTAATCTTTTACATTTTAATTTTTTCTGAAGACACAAACAGAATATTTGCAGAGGCTAAAAATGCATTGACAATATATTTTCCAGCAGAGATTTCACTAGATATTTAAGAAATGGGAACTGCAATTCTTATGCGTTCTAGACTCTGTAATCATGCAGAATTGTGAATATGCTTCTGAATCCAGAATGTGCCTAACAACAGAGAAATATCCCCAATCCTCCTCCTTTTTCCTCACATACAACAGAATTAAAATAGATCAGAGTCGTCAGAACAAGGTGGTGTACTGCTATAATGATAACCACCGGGAAAAATATATTGGGTTAAACTTACAGCAAGGAAGAGTATACATTACATTAGTTTTCAGGAAAAAGAGGTTGTTTAGTTTGAGCTTAACAGTCATTGTATATGTATCATACTAATTAAAAAGGTAACTAATTTCAGAGTTATTTCTTACTCTACCACAGTCTCTCCCTCTCCCTCTTTCTCTTCATTCAAGTTCTTCTCTTTCTTTAGATTTCATATAAGATGTCCTTTGTAATAAAATTGAAGGTTATGCCTAAGATCTACTAAATGGGGAATTATATGCAGTTTTAAGCAGCAGCAGCACACCTAAAAAATTTACCTTAAATGATTTGTATCGTTCATCATTTAACACCTCTTTAGCTCTAGAACTCTCTCCTTCTTCAATAATCTCCTAAATAAAGAAAAATATGTTACTTTTTAAAATTAAGATTACAGAAAGTTGTAATAAAATAGTCTAATCGAAACTGTTATCAGCCTTTCCAAACACAGAGAGCATCCTTAGCAGCCATGTTGTTTTATTCCGTTAGGATCAAATTCTGCAATCCTTTTTCAGACAGGACTCCCATTGACCTAAGCATGAACTAGAAACTGGGACCATGGAATATATCTCACAGCAATTATTTACTCATAAATTGACAGGTGGCTAATAATTAAGCTATCAATGAGTTTCCCTGAAAATTAAATTTCATTATTTAAGTTTACCTCTCTTAAAAAATAGGAGCACTGCCGGAGCAGAGTTGTTTTTGTAGAGTTATGATCCCTTTAGTCTTTCTGATTAAAAAAAAAAAAAGAGAGAATCTCCATCTTATTGTCTGAGGCACCATAATTGAACTCGCAGTCCCCAGGCAGTAGGTACACAGAGCACTTCAGCTGCTGCTTCCTTAACTGGTGGAGTGAGGCAGAAGAGGAGCTGGAGTGAATCACAGCACTCAGCAACGACCTCTCCAAACAGCTAAGATGCTCCCATCAGCTGCCTACCAGAATAACAATAGCTAAGACGTGGGGTCCTGAAAAGGCCACAGATTTAAGAAAAGAAAAATGCAGGGGATAGTCAAAGCTCCAATAAGAATGTAAAGTTTGTCCATTACCTAGATAAAAGGGCCTGTTACAACTCCTGGCAAGGTAGGATTTAACATTAAAGTACTAAAACATTTACCAGTTTTGCAAAAATAGTATTTGCAATAAAGCATTCAGCTGAGAGAAATGATGTTCCCAAGGGCACAATAAGTCACATGAGCAAAACTATTAGCAGTTAACCTGTCACATCCAAATTAGAGTGAGCCTTTTAAAATGACACACGCAGATCACACCGCGTTACTTATTTGTACTTATTCACGAATTACCTTTATTCATAAGGGGCATTTCTGTGACAGCTGCTTCCCTGTACAGATTTAAGGGAAGTACAGAAATGATTTTTTTCCAGAAATCATTGCACTCTCAGTAATGAGGATGATATAAAGTCATTACAAAGTATACATAAGGCTGTGTAAACAGGCATAAATGTCAGTGCCTCCTCTGACCTCTCAAAGTAAATTTGTAAAAGAATTAATTGGCATAGAAGCCAGAGCTCCGCCACCTCAATGACATCTCGGACTTGGTGTCCCATGCAGGGCAGCCCCTGGATATCTTTCATTCTGACCACTGGAAATGGAAGAAATTTCAGCACAGAAGCTGCTCTCAGAAATTCCAGGCAGAATATTTCATTTTCTTTGAACTCGTAGTTTTCAGCCATTATTTCAAAAGCATCCTGTGAAGGGAGAATAAAAAAAGGCTAATAAAAACTTGAAAGTGTTCAGCTTTCTCCTTTGAAAAGTTCCTGTTTGTATATTAATTCACAAATCTTTATAGGAGAAAAAATATATATTTATTTATATATTTTTATATATTTATTTACATATATATATATATATATCGCCACTTTTCCTGATTTCATTAAAATTTTATTTTAGAGACAAAAATGGGAAAAGATTCTAATTTAGAATGAAGCCAAAGTTTAAAATCTTTCATGAGACTTCTTGAGTCATTTCATGACTTTATATCTTCTGTGCAGATCTAATACACAGCTTCACGTATAGAAAAGTTTTCCGCACTTCTGAAAATTTGAGGAAACACTCTGAGCCTCATGATATGAAACATCTCCATGATTCTGTGCCACTCTGTGAGTTATGCCCAAATGTAATCAATCCAGCAGGTCAGTACGGGACATCTTCATTTTCAGACAAAACCAAAACGGAGTCTGTGCCAATACAGGAAACCACCACTTTTTTTCTAAAGTTGTAGCCATGCTTCTCTCTAGTAATTTAAGGAACAGACTCACTTTTCCCTCACTTTCCAGACATACGACCCATGCAATGAGAAAAACATTTTCTTTTACAGTTCTTCATCAATCCATGGCTAGGTTTATTGAAGATGTTGTAAACGAGACTGCTTGGAGACTGCCAATACAATGGTTTGTTTGTTTGTTTTTTACTGTGTCATTTATGCAGCTCTTGTGTCCCCCTCCTTCTCATAGTGTACATATATACACATCAAGAGCAACAGTTTTAAGAAATGAAGGCAGGGAATATACCCCACAGGGGTGAAAAGGAGAGGGAGGTTTTTGTCTTCCCTTGCGTGGAATTCTTCATTTTGAGAGAACACAAAGGCTGCAAAAAGTACGTGAATAACCTCTAAAACAAGGAGAGGGGCATTCTTGAAGGCTTGCTGCTGATTAGCAGTCAGAAATCTTACTGAGTGACGTGAAACCTTACACAAAACTTCAAAATTTACTAAGTCTGCAAAGGTAAGTGCTTTCTTCCAACTTCTTACTGCTCAGGCAGTATCTCAAGAGCAGGTAACAGATCTAAGCCTTGAAAGTCACAGGCATCCTGTTTAGTGGGTCTTGCTGTATTTGTCAGTTGTTGCTTATCCTGCCTGTCTTCCAGCTTGTTCCTGCTTCTTCTTTGACCCAAAGGCTATTAGAAACACTGAAGAAGTGGCGTGCATCTGCCTGCCAGTGACACTTCCCTGAGCTATAATCCAAGTGGCTGTTCAGAAAATCTCTTAGAAATAAGGAGGAGTAACACCCTATGCGTCTGGTAGTAACTTTCTACTCATATTACTATATCCCTCCCTCCAGTGGACTCAGCTCCCCTTATTTAACCTACTTGTACGTTACCCTATGCGCAGGTTTAGAGGTACTATCTGGCCATTCATTAGATAAATAAGCAAAGTAAGAGTAAAACAGATGTCAAAGACATAGGAAGCAGCTTACCAGAACAGTGACCTGAGCTCGTAGTAGGAGGGAATAAGATTAAACAGCATTTTTTCTGCCCTCAGTATTTATTGGATCACTGTATTTAGGCTTGAGATTTCAAATTATTTGCAATTAAATGTAGGATTAAATAGTTCAAAGAAAAACAACTCTAGATTTTGCTTTAATTGTTATCATTGCATTAATGTATTCTCTATTAGAAGGCAGAAGCCAAATAAAAACCAACAGGCCTTGTGCATCCTGAATGCTGTATGCTTACTATTTCTGGATGAAGTGGCTCAGTTCCAGTCCCGCTAACTGACATGACTGCAAATCCAGTGAAATCATTCCTTTCTTACACCCACAGAATTGAGGGCAGGATCTGTCACACGGCATTGATGGAATACAGTGTGATTTGCACACACAAAAATCTTATTTGAGCATCAATCCTTTGAATTATTAAAGCACAGAAAGACTTTTTAAAATTAAATGTGCCTTTCACATAAACTGTATATTATTTGCATATTAATTTTCATTCAATTTGGTCAGTTCTGGAAAAATAGACCATCTGGTACGTTGCGTTCATCAGATTATAAACATTATACTCTCATTGAAGCAAAATGAAGGTTTTAATCAAAAATCTTGAAGAAATTGTTGTCTCTACTGACCCTAGGATTTGCAAAACTTTCATTTTAACAAAACAAAAACAAGCAAGCTTAATTGGCTTGCAGAATCCCTTTAGAAGAAATAAGCACCTTGTGTGATCAAAAACACTTCATTTTCTCTTTTTTTCTATGGTGCCATGTTGAAGTGTTTTGCATCTTTCTCTTCACACCTGTAGATATTGCTAAGAGAATCCTGAAGCAGCATTTTGCTCCATGTTCTGGTTTAGGGAGTTTCACTTCCTGTTCTCCAGTTCTTTCTGTACTTACAGTTAAGATGTAGTTAACTTGCAATACCTTATATGTACAATTTATCAGCACATCTGTCTGATATCTGTTTTTTAGCCATTAATATAGATGACCTTATCCAGACTGAAACTGTTGAAATTGTGCTTTGTTTTTTTCCTTCTCTTAGAAAAGAGCAGGATCCCAAATAAATTTATCTTCAAAGAACAGCTCATACACTCAGATCTGTTCAGCTGGATCAGTTCTCATACAGACTTCCCAGAAATGGACAGAATTCTGCATTCTGAATAAATTCAAAGTACCAATAATTCGGACTAGCAAAGAAATGATTAAGTCATTAAGTGATTAAGTTACCACTCTGGTAAAAAAGGGTGGTTAATCTTAATAATAAGAAAAAAAATCAAAATTTTGGGATAAAATTAATACTAATTATTATTACTGCAGCGTTAACATCTGTAGGTCTGTATTTCCTATAGACTGAATTGGGCTTAATATATTGCTTGCTTTCCTGTGGTCTTCACCATAGAGCTTAAATAGGACTAAAACCATTTCGATCTTGAATCTGTCATTGTTTCTTCTGTTGTCCCCAGCACAACCTCGCTCCTTGCTCTAAGAATCGGTTAGTCACCAGCAGTTCATCTCACTAGAGGAGTCCTACTCTTAGCTGCATGTTTATTTTTCAGCGTATGTCAGATTCATAAGTGCTCTGCTGTTCTGTTTTCAGAACATTTAATGAAAGACCTCTTGAGATAGAGACTTTTTTAGCAAGATGCGTGATGTGGAAGTTTCTACCTCTATTTACATTCAACTAACCCCTGGGTATAAGAATTCAAAGGTGGGGGGGGAGGGAGGAGAGAATGCTCCTTTGAGAGAAAACAAAAATTATAAAAATAGTGCAAAAAACCTTCGCCTCCTTATTGCTGTCTTTAAAGCTCTTGCAGTGGCTAATTGCTGGATTCATTCAACAATGAATGAATTTTTTTTTTAATATTTAAGGTCTCTATTTGCTTGATGGATTCATTTATGTTGTATCTAAGTACATATCTTTTGGTTAAAGTCAGGAATACTTTGTAATTCCCATTTAGAAAGAATATTAATGCTCAAGAGAGGGAAATTGCCAATCTGAGCTCACAAGCAACGTGGATTCATCCCAGCTGTCTTCTGGAAGAACAAAACCAGTGTGCACGGTACTGCAAGGCCAACGGGCAAAGGCATTTTACAAGTGAGGTGATGGGAGCTAGGTGTTTCTTTTTTTTTTTTTTTTAACGCAGTAAAAAACGTTGCCTTGAGCTCCTTAGCTAGCCTCTGCTTCAAGCAGTTTAAGGACCGCCCTGATTCAGTGTCGTCCCAGCACGCTCCTCTCAAGCCAGCAGTAGCTGCTGTGCAGCTGTCTGAGCTGACTGTAGGCCTACGGCGAGGAAAGTCCTGGCAGGGGATCTGGGACTACAGCAGCCCTCTTTATTCTGCCAAGTTCTTCCTCTTTAAGTTTGTTATCAGCTTCAAAGATTTATTTATTTATTTTAACTAAATAAGAGATGCCACTTCTTGTTTCAAGAGGTTTGGAGTTCCCTTCACAAAATTAGGATTATGTTTCCCCTCTTTTTCCCCCTTTACAAGCTGTGCAGAGTGTTTGGCAAGACATTTCTCACTTATTGCTAGTTAACACTAGCAGACTCGATCAGAGGTCAGAACCAAAAAGATGCAATTGCTGCCTTCTTGTTAAAATAACCTATACAGGCAGACACACAGAAAACAGTTCTCACAAGTACCTGCTCAACAGTATGTAGTAATGACAAAAACCTGCAAAGTCATCATCGTTTTGCTAAGGAAACTGAAAAAACTCTAGGGAGATTTTTCTCAAACCCAATAGGAGGCCTCTCACATGGACATTTAAATAGATGTATTCTAGACAACAAAATCAGCCATCATGACAAATGTGTCTATATATATCAGTACCATTGCTATTTTAGAGAAGTGTTAGTCCTTTCTACCAGCAGGTGGATGGTTTTCAGAAAAGCTTTGTCACCACCGTTATTGAAAAAGACAATCGTATGTAGCATTTACTCAGAGGCTGTTGACAGTCAATGAGAAAATATTATCAAAGCATTTTTATCATTCTAGTTTGCATTATTCAGTGCTTTCCTGCCTCTGCAGAGCTCATTAAGCTATTTTAAATAAACAATTAAACAAGTATTGAATATGCATTATTCCCTGTAGAAAACAGTGCCTGCAAATGCTGCAATTAATTACAGATCTGTCTCTTTACCTAAAACTGCTTTTGACATTCTTTTTGATAAAGTCTTTCTGTTTTAAAAAAAGAAAGCAACTAATTCCCAAGTAGAGTTACTATCTATTCAATACTATAGTCCATATTGGATAAAATTCCAGAGGGGAAAGCACATGAAACTCCTATAGTAACTCAGAAAAAGCCTACAGTCTATTAGATCTCTGGTGAAATCTATTTATGGTGTTATAAGAAGGAAAGCTGCTGACCTCTCTTTTATTCTAAACCTCGGTATTTCTTACATTAAGCTTCTTACCACCATCTTTAGCAATGAGATCAATACTCAGACTGTCTGTTTAAAAGATAATAATTTAACAGGAAAG